TTCTAAGTGCAGTATTGACTCTAAGGTTATTGAAGACAAGAACGATGCCTCCTCCCTTTCTTCCTTCCAATTTGTGACTCAAATTTTACTGGAAGAATGCTTTTTAAAAAAATACTTCCTGCCGAAACTGGTTTGGCTCAGTGGATAGAGCGTCGGCCTGCGGACTGAAGGGTCCAGGGTTGGATTCCAGTCAAGGGCATGTACCTTGGTTGCGGGCACATCCCCAGTGGGGGGCGTACAAGAGGCAGCTGATTGATGATTCTCTCTCATCGGTGCTTCTAACTATCTCTCTCCCTTCCTCTCTGTAAAAAAATCAATAAAATATATTTTATAAAAAATATTTCCTGATGGATTTCCCATATGCTAAGTTTTATGACAACACTCTCAACATACACTTAAGCATTTTTTAAAAAATATATTTTATTGATTTTGTACAGAAAGGAAGGGAGAGAGATAGAGAGTTAGAAACATCGATGAGAGAGAGTCATCGATCAGCTGCCTCTTGCACACCCCCTACTGGGGATATGCCCGCAACCAAGGTACATGCCCTTGACCAGAATCGAACCCGGGACCCTTCAGTCCCCAAGCCGATGCTCTATCCATTGAGCCAAACCGGTCTCGGCACACTTAAGCATTTTTTAAAGAAGACGAGATATAGACAACCTAGAATTTTTAGTCCATTTACATTTAATGTAATTACTGTTGTAGTTAGGTTTAATCCTACATTTTTCCTCTCTTTTTTTTTTATGACTCCAGTCAACTAACTAAAAGGAAGCTTTCCTGAAACCCCACACCCATGGGGTTTATGCAGTAGGCCACCCTGCAGGGCTGGAGGGCATGTGGTGGTTTGTAACATTTAGGGTGGAGGCTGGTGGTGGTTTGTAACATGTGACAGCACAGAAGTGCAGGCAAGGGAAACACCTGGGACAGAACATGTTGTGGAAGGTGCATTTCTGAATGAGCTGGAGAAGGGAAGGCTCAGTAATGCCACTTGGCAGGCAAAGCCCCAGGTTCAGGGTGAACTTTTTCTGGAAGGTAGAGTCTGAGTGTGGCCATCCTCTGGCTGCTTACTCACAAAAATCAGATGCTGCTGGCTGGGCAGGATGCCCTCCTTGTCTTGAAATTGGGCTTTAACATTCTCAATGGTGTCACTGGGTTCAATCTCAAGGGCGATGATCTTGTCCACCAGGGTCTCACAAAGCTCTGCATCTCTGCACTAGGCGACTGGCTGCCTCCTTGGAGAGAAAGAGCCATAGCTACACTCCTTCTTGACTCACATCTCCAATTCTGCTTCTCCTCTTTGGAGGAGAACAACAGTTGTGAAAAGGGAGACAAGGAAGGAAAATCTTCAGAGTGCAGACTAGTCTTCAGGCAAATAAATTCTAGAAAACTGTACATAGGAAATTTGAGTACCTGGACTTTTTTTTTTTTTTAAGGGCTGTTAGATATTCTAGCATCAGGGGAAAGAGTGAGAGCATGCTAACCCATTTCTGGAAAGGACTGTGGAAACCATTTGCTACAAATAGATGAGGGTGAAATAGCCAATTAGGGCTATCCAAACAGAGAGTCTAGCCCACTGTACAAAACCATCTCGAATTATGTAAGCTATTCCAGGATGGAGCTTATTTGTATGGTGCCTGGGCTTGAGCCCAGTCCTTCCTTCTTGTACAGCAAAATCAAGATAATATGGTTTCCCTGTCAGTAGTGGGTTCTTAAATGGGTTTGGGGTTTGAGCCCTACCAATATCAACATTGACTCTGTTATAACAAGGTGTTGTTGTTGTTAATGTGTGGTATGAGTTCTTTATGTGTTTTAGTTATTAATTCCTTATCCGATATATGGCATGTAAATATTTTTCTCCCACTTTGTTGATTGCTTCTTTTGCTGTGCAAAATTTAATTTCTCTTTGTTGCTCCATCCCTATGGCTAAGACTTCCAGTGCTATGTTGAAGAGAAGTGGGAAAGGTGCGTCCTTGACTTAGTTCTGATCTTACAGAAAAAGCTTTCATCTTTTCACACAGACTGTTATGTTAGCTCTGAGCTTTTCTTACATGGCCTGGGATCTTAGTATTTAACAACAAATTATACTCTGGAAAGTTTAAGCTACTTTTAAAATTTTGTTCATGTTTACCACCAAAATCATATCTTCTTTTTATTTTATTTTCATATTTTTTAATTGATTTTTTACAGAGAGGAAGGGAGAGGGATAGAAAGTCAGAAACATCGTTGAGAGAAAAACATCCATCAGCTGCCTACTGCACTCCCCCCCCCCCCCCACTGGGGATGTGCCTGCAACCAAGGTACATGCCCCTGACCGGAATCGAACTGAGACCCTTCATTCCGCAGGCCGATGCTCTATCCACTGAGCCAAACCGGTTTCGGCAATCATATCTTCTTTACTTCTCAGCCTTTATTTCTTTTTAAATTTAAATTTCATTTTTGTCAATATAATACATGTATATAATTAAGAAGTAAAAAATACTACACAGTTCCCTAGAGGATCAATTTCATCAACTATATTACTTAGTATTTATAAATATTATGTAACCATTAGCCATTATATGTATAAGGGAAAGAATTGATAGCCAGACAGAAATAATTTTTTATAAATACATTTGTATTGATTTCATAGAGGAAGGGAGAGAGATAGAAACATCAATGATGAGATCATTGATCATCAGCCTCCTGCATGCCCCACACTGGGGACTGAGCCTGCAACGGGAGCATGTGCACTGACTGGGAATTGAATTGTGACTTCCCGATTCATAGGTCGAAGCTCAACTATTGAGCCAGGCCAGTCAGGCCAGAGAGAAATAATTTTGTAAATTATAGTAGAAAAATTTTTTTCAGCAAAATTATATATTTAAGTTTGTTTGAGTCTAAGATAAGAAAAATAAAACAGGAAGTTTTCTGGGGACGAATAACTGTGGGTTGAGAACCCAATCCAGGTACCCTTTCTTCCTTTCTATCCCCCCAGCCCTGCTCTCTTGGTGACTGTGAAATCAGGTTGCTCCCTGGGCTAAGGGATGAGTGGAGAGTAAGCTGGGTTGCTGCCATCTTTACCTGGCTGTTGATGGACTACCCAGTCACAGCTGTGTCCATTATTATACCTGCTCCGGGCTCTGAACTCTGCCATGTGGGCACTGAGAAGCCATTTTTATCATGGTGCTGGTGCAAATAAAGTGCTCTAACCTTTGTATGACCTCAAGGATGGGGATTCTTTCCAACACGCCAGTGCTCAGATGGCAGGCAAGCTGGATGGGGACTCACCTGGAGTTTTTAAGGAGCTATCAGGAATGGATGCTTTATCTGCAGGTCACTCCTATGGCACTAGGGATAATTCAACAGAAAATACTTCACTAAATTTACACAGCAGCTGGACCTGATGGTCAAATAGGATAAACCTGGGATGATTGCCTTGCTGCTGGCTCTTACAAGTCCTTGACTTAACCCTGATTTGCAACAATTCTGGCTCTTAGTCCCAACATTATTCTCCTGGGTGTCTCAGGAAAATGCCTATCCTAGACCACCAACTAGCCTATTCAATTGATAGGAGGTAGCACAGTGTAAATGTTAGATTTTCATTCTGAATCTAGAGGCAGCTAATTTTGGCACTGAGTCCTGGATCTGGTGCTTAAGATTTGGTCCATATTCTCATCTACAAAATTGGGCTGATAATAAGAAAAGGTAAATTAAATAATGAGGAGAGCCTATGATAAACATTCATTGTTTTTTGGTCACTCACCATCGACCCTCCATTCTTTTGAATTTCATTTTGTGACCAGTCCTGATGGAAATGAAAAATCCACGTGCCCTGTCCTTTCCGGCATCAAACGAGTCTGGATTCACAATAAGTCTGCTAAGGTGCTGACATCCCATGATGGGGATGCCCACCATCTGGATTCCAGGTTTGTCACAGGACAGTAAGCGGTACAGACAACATGTATTAGAGTCTATCAAGTATTTCCGAGGAAGGAAAGACCATTGAGCTTCAATGAGAGGATCTGAGCTGGGTGTTGAAGAATTGAAATATCAGGATAGACAGTGAGGAGAGGGGAAGACATTACAGTACAGGCAAAGGAGAGAGACAGTGAGAACAAATGCATATGATATATTTAGGGATCATGAATAGGTCATTTTGCTGAAGCAGAAATTTATTTTAAAACAATGAATAATTTTTGGAAAGGTGGGTTGAAATAAATTTCAAACAAGAAATTCTAGAAACAGTCAAGTTGCAAATATTCCTATCAAAAGAGATTCTTTTCAGTATCATCGCCATCATCTCTATCAGCAACATGAAATATGTTTCCACCTCTTCTGGAGGTAATTTGGAACTGTGGAACCCTAGAGAGCTGTCTGTGACCTTTGGAAAGGATATTTATGGATTCATACATTCTTAGAGGAAATTATTGTATAAGAATGACTTAAGGTTGCCCTCGCTGGTTTGGCTCAGTGGATAAGAGCATTGGCCTGCAGACCAAAGTGTCCCGGGTTCGATTCCAGTCAAGAGCACATTCCTTGGTTGCAGGCTCCTCCCTGGTCCTGGGCCCTGGTCAGGGTTTGTGCAGGAGGCAACCAATCAATGTGTTTCTCTCACACCGATGTTTCTCTCTGTCTTTCCCTCTCTCTTCCACTCTAAGAATCAATAGAGCCTTGGCCTGTGGACTCAAGGGTCCCGGGTTCGATTCCGGTCAGGGGCATGTGCCTTGGTTATGGGTGCATCCCCAGTGGGGGGTGTGCAGGAGGCATCTGATCGATGTTTCTAGCTATCTATCCCCCCTCCCTTCCTCTCTGTAAAAAAACAATAAGATATATATGTTTTTAAAAAGGATAAAAAAGAATCAATAGAAAAATATCCTCAGGATTTAAAAAAATGACTTAAGGTCATTCCAGAGTGGGTAGAATGTTTAAAAGGCAGCACCTAAAATGGAGACGTTCCTTAGGCACCAATTGTACAAGTAATTCCATGAACAAGTTTAAGAACAGCTAATAACTTCCAAAGGTTTTATTATTTACTTTCCAATAAACACAAGCTTTGGTGCTCTAGGCACGAAATGTCCACAACTTAAAAACTAGCCTTGTGTTGAAACAGATGCTTATCAACCCTGGGCACTGCCAAAAAGGCTTTTAAGCTGGTGCTTTCGGTGGTGATGGTCTCCGCCACCCTGCTGGGAGCCATGGCATGTTCTGTCCTCACGGGGCAGGGAGCGAGGTGGTGGGAGAACGTAGGTTGGAGGTCCTGTTTCCTGTTTGCAGGAAAGGAGATCTGTGGGTTCCTGATAAGCTATATGCACACCTGGGTTCAATGTTCTCCGTTTGATAACCAGCAACTCGCATGGCATAAAAAGCCAATCCGGGCCCTGCTGGACCAGTACCGACAGCAGCCATGGCAAAGCTTCTTCTCCTCACAGGTGGGTTCGTAATCAGGGATAGAGCCTTGTTCTGCCTCAGCTGACAGCTTTTTCTCTCTGGAACTGGCAGCTGAGAGGCAGTCTATATTCCTAGTTTCAGAACCTTTTCCAAATAAAACCTCTGGCTCAACTTATTAAAAAAAAATCATATTGCAAGCACTTTGATAGAAGCCAGGGAGAGGGATCTGGAGTCTGACCTCACAGACTAAAAGTTGGTTAAAAAAAAAAAAATTCCCAGGCCCCAGGAGATACTGAATTCATTGATTCGGAGAATGCCTTGTCTGTGAAGGCTGTTCTCATTCCAGTTCAAGGGGGTGAAGTGTGTATGTATGTGTAGTCACTCAACATACTCAATATACTCTTTGGCATAACCCCTGAGGGCTGCTGGAGCTGTAACAACCTTTGACAAATAGAACGGCATCCAAGTCCTAAGAATTAGATTCTACAGGATAGACGGCCGTTCCAGAGCACATGCTTTTGTTTTCATTTTTTCCCACTCTCTCTCTAGGTCTGGCCCTTCTGCTGAATGCTCAGCTAGGTAAGTCCTGGATTTTATCTTTTTCTTCCAAAACCCTCAAATTCTTATCAATTCTTCCCATTGCAATGACCTGCTAAGATATGTGCTTTTTAAATATTCCAATCCTTTTTTTCAAAAGTATATCAAGAGATAAGCCATACTAGGAAAGAGAGCTACGATCTACTTCAGAGACGGGTGGGTTTGACGTTGGGAAAATCTAGGGTTTAGGATCGGCTGCCATGTTGTCTTCTTCAGCATGGCCACCTACCAGTTAGAAACGGGTGTCCACTGGGCTTCATAGGAATCTTTTCTTCAGTGGTTCCCAGGTCTATTTATACAAAATCTCAAAATAAATTCATCACAGTTAAAAATAGCCAACCTCCCCACCCTCGACCCCGGTCGCCCACTAGTTCCCAAGTCAGAATCCTTGAACTCATCTGTGAGCGTGCTCACACATGGAGATGCGGCATCTGAGGCAGAGTGAGGGAGACAGGAGGGCCAAGACTCATGGCACGTTTCAGCAATGTCCAAACCAAGGCCATTGTCCTTCCTCCTTACTGCCCACAGGCTCTGCCTACCAGCTGATATGCTACTTCACCAACTGGGCCCAGTACCGGCCAGGCCTGGGGCGCTTCACGCCCGAGGACCTCGACCCCTGCCTCTGTACTCACCTGATCTACGCCTTCGCGGGCATGCGAAACAACGAGATCACCACCATCGAATGGAATGACGTGACCCTCTACCAGGCTTTCAATGGCCTGAAGAACAAGTAAGAGAAGGGGGAAATATCTGGTTGAGTATCTCTCAGTGCAGTGCTTCCCAAACGTGATGGGCAAGCGAATCAGCTGGCGTCTTTCTAAAATGCAGCTCCGATTTGATGAGTCCGGAGTGGGGACCAAGAACCTGCACTTCCAATAAGCTCCCTGATGCTTCTGGCCCAGGATCTGCCCTTTAAGTAGCAAGAATATAGAGAACTCAGCACAGTGCCTGCTCTAGCAGCTATTGGAAACATATTAGTTGTGTTTCTTCCTTTCTTTGTCAAGCTTTTTTATGACCCAGGAAACTGCAAGCCATCTTAGCTACTTTCAGAGCAGGAGGCAGAGGATATAAACGATTAGATGTCGTTAAACCTAAGAAAACAGAAGCGTTCACTGAATTTGAATGGAGTTCTAGTTTGTGTAAAAAATCCACAAATCAAACAACTGAAAACCCTACTGTTTTTTCATTTCTGACTTGTTCGGTTTAGTTATATGTGGGAGAAGTAGCATTCCCTTGGGAGTAGCACTGTCCTGGGTGCAGCTACTCCAGGTAAGTTCTGATAACCTAAGAGGCGACCACCCCTTTGGAGTGGTGTTTCTGGAAATGTGGCCCATTTGACTACTTGTATGGAAATCACCTGGGGCACTTGATAAAAATGCCAATGCTTACCCTGGTCCAGCTGCTTCAGAATCTCTGGGAAGGCGGCCATACACCTGGCATTCCATGGTGCCCTCCCATTCTGACCCTTGCATTTTATTCTTCTGTAAACTGATGTTTGAGAAATACTGTTCCGAGAGGCTGAGAAAGTAACTAAGCTCAAGCCACATTTACCATTTCATCTGATGGAATTGAATATGATTATATTATGCTGACAGATGGATGGATGGATGGATAGATAAACAGATAGATATAGATAGCTACATGTGGATATATTTCAAAAAATGTCACCAATACATACTTCTTTTAAAACAAACATCCCATTTCCATAATTTAGTTTTCTCCAAAGAGCCCTGAGTAAATTTATGATAACCACAACACAAAGAATTGTTATAAAGTGTTTGGAAGTGGAGGAAAATTGTTCTGTAATAAACATGTCAAGGTATAAACCGGGCCCGATACCAAAGCGTTGGAATTCTCAGTAGAGCGGCTCAAGGGTTTTGAAGGTCCTCTTTTCTACCCTTCGCTTTCCAGGAACGGCCAGCTGAAAACGCTCCTGGCCATCGGCGGCTGGAACTTCGGAACTGCCCCGTGAGTCCCTGCGGGAGGGCTGGTGCTTATTTGCTACTGAAAACAAGGTGGCCCTCTGTGCCCCGTGTCCTTTCAGACCTCACAGTCTAAGGCAGGGTATTAAGGATGCACAACAAACAAATAGGCTGCTTAAATAAGTTACTACACCAGAGCCTCAATAATACGTAGGATGCAAGGATGCAATTGCTTTTAGACATTTAAATGTTGATGGATATTCTGGGATCCTACTCATCAAGGTTTAGTGAATGGGATTGCAAAACAATCTCTTCTTAGAGTCTTTCAAGAGCACAGCCCCTGAGAAGAGTGTTGGATTTATTTTCTCTATTTACCTTCTGTGGGAAGGGAAAGGCATGCAAATGAATGAGACTTGGCTGAGGGCAAATGTGCTTGGGGGACTGTTTGGAGAGAGACCACAGAGAGCTGTGAGGTGAGCAGAGGGGCTCCGGTGTTCAAAGCAACCAGCACAACTTGGCAGGAAGACCAGAGTTTGGATCAATAAAGCAGAGGCAACATTGAGGGGCCATGGCTGTGATTACAAGTGAGGACAGGAGAAAACCAGGAACGTTCTTTTGTTTGGGTTGTGGATCCTGGTGAAGAGCTTGGAGGCAAAAATATAGGAGTTTGATGTTACAAGGGGTTGGGACTGTGGAGGCAAACCCTCACCTGCCCTCTTGGGGTCGCCCTTAGTTTCACTGCCATGGTGTCCTCTCCTGAGAACCGCCAGACCTTCATCACCTCGGTCATCAAATTCCTGCGCCAGTACGACTTTGACGGGCTGGACTTTGACTGGGAGTATCCTGGCTCTCGGGGGAGCCCGCCTCAGGACAAGCACCTCTTCACTGTCCTGGTCCAGGTGAGCTGTGCTCCATGTCATTTTTAAAAATTCATTTTTAAATGCCAGTGTGCATTCAACATCATTTGGTATTAGTTTCTGGAGGGCCCACAACCCATTTCATGTACAAGGTCAGTGAGGCCGTGCAGAAAACCCAGCTGCCTGCAACCTCAGTGCGAGAGGAACGACCTGGATGCCCTATTGCTGTGAGAATGCTGAAGAATGAAAGATGGACGACTGGTTAAATTTACTTCGAAGAATAGTCGTGAAGGTCAACTTAGAGTTCACGTTCATAGACGTACTCCTCCTCTTGCACAGGAAATGCGTGAAGCTTTTGAGCAGGAGGCCAAGCAGGTCAACAAGCCCAGGCTGATGGTCACTGCCGCAGTCGCTGGTGGCATCTCCAACATCCAGGCTGGCTATGAGATCCCAGAGCTGTCCCAGTGAGTGACCACTGTCCCCAGCTCCTCTGTGTCGCTTGTGTAAAAGACGCTCATCCTTAGTCTGTCTTGCTGTCCAGGGACCTTGTTGAGGGGGCTTAGGAAGGGGTACCTTTTCCTGCAGAGGCGTGGGAGTTGACCATCAGAGATGATTTTACCTGCTTTACCTGCCCTGCAGGTACCTGGACTTCATCCATGTCATGTCCTATGACCTCCATGGCTCCTGGGAGGGCTACACTGGAGAGAACAGCCCCCTCTACAAATACCCAACCGACACTGGCAGCAATGCCTACCTCAATGTGGTGAGTCCCTATACCAACTCATACACAGACCAGAGATGGTGTCCTAAATCACATGGGGATTTGGGGGAAAACATAGATTCTACAAAAATCTCACTTGTTATAACTATCCGTGTAAGTGGCTAATCAAATCTCTTTAACTATTATTCCACAAAAATGTGTATTAAAAATTCTAACAAATTTCCTGTCATTAAGATCAAACAATTTGCTCGCTAGAACAGGGGTCTAACATAACTAAGCCCCGGGCCATCAGCTCGGTGGGGCCTCTTGGTAACCTGTTGCCATTGCAGGATTACATCATGAACTATTGGAAGGACAATGGGGCCCCAGCTGAGAAGCTCATCGTTGGATTCCCAACCTACGGTCACACCTACATCCTGAGCAACCCCTCTGACCATGGAATCGGGGCTCCTATCACTGGCCCTGGCCCTGCTGGGCCCTACACCAGGCAGTCTGGGTTCTGGGCCTACTACGAGGTATGCTCCCGGCAATCTGAGAGAGACAGAGAAAAGCCACAGGTTAACAATATAAACAATCCAACACATCTTGGCTCACTGAAGTAGTTGGGGCTAAAAGTGGATGCACCTGGCTGTTTATAGGGAAGGCAGGATGAGCACTCACGTTGCATATTAGACTGGATTCCAAACACAGAGAGAGTAGGACAAAGAGATCCATCAATGAGATTACATCAGTGAACGGGCACTGCTCACTGCCGGCCACGGCTTTTTTTGATTTAAGAGCTTCTCCCGCATTGAAAATAAGTTACCTGAATGGGACAAAGATTTAGAATCCTAAATGAAGTGAGAAATTTGCTCATAGAGCTCTAGGCCTTCCTTTTCTTTTCTTTTCTTTTCTTTTTTTTTTTAATATATTTTATTGATTTTGTATTGTACAAAGAGGAAGGGAGAGAGATAGAGAGTTAGAAACATCGATGAGAGAGTCATCGATCAGCTGCCTCTTGCACACCCCCTACTGAGGATATGCCCGCAACCAAAGTACATGCCCTTGACCGGAATCGAACCCGGGACCTTTCAGTCCCCAAGTCGACGCTCTATCCATTGAGCCAAACCGTTTGGTCTCTAGGCCTTCCTTTTCAAGTATCTTTCATGTATCTCTTCTCTACTTCCCTCCCCTGTGCCCTCTACCCCTGCAACATGGACCCTTTGCCCACCTTTTGACCTCTTCCTTATCTCCTCTTAGATCTGTCCCTTCCTGAAGAATGGCGCCACTGAAGTGTGGGAGGCTGCTCAGGAAGTCCCCTACGCTTACAAAGGCAACGAGTGGCTTGGCTATGACGACACCAAGAGCTTCAAAATCAAGGTGGACTGGGTGCCGTGGACTGCTGTGGCCTGTTTACTCCCCTCTGTAGCCCTGGAGCCCCAGGTAGGCCCTGGTGTCTGCACTTCATTGGGTGTCTCTGTCATTACCACAGGCTGACTGGCTGAAGAAGAACAACTTTGGAGGCGCCATGGTCTGGGCCATCGATCTGGATGACTTCACGGGCACTTTCTGCAACCAGGGCAAATTCCCCCTGACCACCACCCTGAAGGATGCCCTGGGCCTGCAGAGCGGAAGTGAGTGACAGCTGGAGGATGTCCAGGGATCTATAAGGGCTCCTTCTCCAACTCAAAAGATAGTTCTTGCATCTGCCCATCCCCATTGACCAGGGGGCATTTTCCCATTTCATCTCCCTGCTCTTGAGAGATAGATGCTAAAATCCTTCCCTACCCTTGAACTTCCATGTCAGAAATGTCATGCTCTTATGGGAAACCAAGACCACATGGGTGGGTTTTCCAGGTCATCTGAGTCTTAAAGGTATAGCAAAACCTCAAGAAATTAGGCTGACCTTATAATCTAAGCATTTATTTCTCTGTGATCTCTTTATTAAAAGTCTCTTTTAACCCCTCTGGGGAGATTTAACAAGAAAGCCTTAATAGTGCTCACCTATTTCTATTCTTTAATTCAGGAAAATTATCAACTCCCTGAACTTCCCCCAGATTTTCTCTTAGAGCTTATTTGCTCAGGACTTATACTCAGATCGTATAGAAAGTATTTTTCACATTTAGGTGCTCAGTAAATTTGTTTGAATGGTTTTGACATCATCAGGAAAGAGAGAACTTAATAAAATTAGAGACCAGGCTGGCTTAAAATGATAGCTTTCCCTACTGAGAGTGGGCCTATCCTGTGATCCTTTCAGTTGTAGGGATCCAGAGCTAACTGTATCCCACCTCCAGACCTCACCGTTCCAGTCACTAGTCTGCTCTTGTGTCATTCCAGGTTGCACTGCCCCCTCTCCGCCCATTACACCAACCACTCTTCCTCCCACCAGTGGGAGCGGGAGCGGGGGCGGAAGTGGAAGTGGGAGCGGAAGTGGGAGCGGAAGTGGGGGCTCTGGCTTCTGTGCTGACAAAGCCGATGGCCTCTACCCTGTGGCAGACAACAGAAATGCCTTCTGGCACTGCATAAATGGGATCACGTACCAGCAGAACTGCCAGGCCGGGCTAGTCTTTGACCCCAGCTGTTCTTGCTGCAACTGGCCGTGAACCTGACCTGTTCTCCATCCCCTGGGGTTCTGAACAGTCTTCTTCCTTTATCTTGCTTCTAACTGGAGTTCTGCAATAAAATCCATCAGTCAAAACACAAGTGGCCTTGGTATAAGTGATTTGGGTGGAAACCTCACTAGATGTGAAAATGCAGGCTGCGGCTGTCAGATGGAAAGGTTTGAAGGTTTGGTGCTGGGATGGGATGTGGACATGATGAAGATTGGTCTGTTGCCTGGTGACTGTCCTCAAGAAGGAGCCAAAGTGATTCCGTGAGATTAGAGGGCACAGGCCTGCTCGGCTCACTCAGAGAGCAGAAGACCAGGGCATTCTCTCCATGTCTCCTAAGTCCCCGAGCTAGTCCGCCAGCTGTCTGGATTGGCAGCTTTGGGAAGACCTATGCAGTGGGCTCCTTCTGGGGTGTCTGCCCAGCCCAAGGGCCAGCAGTGTCCCTTTCTCAGGAGGTTTCCCCCTCCTTGAACCCATCGTGGTGGTCACCAGCCACTGTGCGTTCACCCATCAGGTCCTCCCCTGGCTTAGCTGGTTGACTGGGGTGGACATCAGACTCCACAGGGCCAATCCGATGATCACCTCTTGGAATAAGCAACAGGGAACAAGGACTGGCTGTCGGTCCCTGAGAGTCTGTGCCTGTAATGTGCCAGCTCTGGAGCTGTGGTGAGAGACTGAGAATGGAAAGTTGCCCTGGACACAGAGCAGGAACACTAACGGGGAACTACAGAGGAAAACCACAACACCATGGAGAAAGAACATGTGTAGCAATGGCTTTCCAACTGGATTCTAGCTCCTTCCTGAGGCCCAGATGCATTTCTGCCTGTGGACTCTGTAAAACTCCCCTATAACTACGTAACAAATTCTTCGCCTTATTTTCTTTCCTTTTCTTGCAACTAAAAGAACTTTGACTAATAAAAAAAAGAATACAACGACTCCCGTTTTTTCCTGGCACGCTTCCTATATGTCACACTCTGCTTTAACTGTTTCTCGCGTATTTACTCAATGTGAAAGAAACACATCAATTGGTTGCCTCCTGCATGCACTCCGACCGGGGTCCAGGCCTGGGAGAAGCCTGCAACCAAGGTACATGCCCTTGACCAGAATGGAATCTGGGACCCTTTGGGTCCGCAGGCCAACTCTCTGTCCACCGAGCCAAACTGGCTAGGACCTTACTGATGATTAATTATGTGCCAGCTTATGTTCTAGGTACTAAAGACAGTGGTCAAGTTTGCATTTTAGTGTAAGTGAGCTGGGGAGCCATGAGAAGGGCATAGCAGGGATGAAGGGGTGATGACAATTCAACATTGATAAAGGGACGCTGGAATATCGTCACAGAACATAGGAAAATCATGCTCCCTATGATTGCAGCCAACGTATCGACTTCTGAGCCCTCACGTGACATGCCTTGGAGGTCAAAGACATAAAAATGGGAGACCAGGACCAAAACCGGTTTAGCTCAGTGGATAGAGCATGAAAGGTCCCGGGTTCAATTCCGATCAAGGGCATGTACCTTGATTGCGGGCACATCCCCAGTAGGAGGTGTGCAAAAGGCAGCTGATCAATGTATCTCTCTCATTGATGTTTCTAACTCTATCCCTCTCTCTACCTCTCTGTTAAAAAAAAAAAAATGGGAGACTAGGGTCCTCAATGAGCAGGTGAAGGCAAGAGTCAGTCAAATTGGGTATTGTCATAAATGTAATTACATTTCTAGCCAAAGAATCGCAAGGCCTGGAGAAAAATTAGCCTCTATGAGGACATGGATTTCTGCTCAGTGCTCTTTTCCCACTGCCTAAAGCAGTGCCTGACATATTAAATAAGTACTTGTTAAATGAATAAGTCAAAGAAGGCAGAAAGGGAGAGAGGAACTAACAGGCTCCCAGCTAACAATAGCCATAGAGTTACGGGTGAGGACACTGAGATATTGGGTGGAAAACTTGCCCAAGATCATGTAGTGAATAATTAGCAGAGCTGCTTTTCCATGTTAGGCCTTCCTGGCTCCCTTTACACCACAATGTGTTGGTTCCAAGAGAGTCATGTCACAAAGACCTGGAAGGGACCTCGAAGGTGGGGCTATTGCTTAGCAGCCAGTTTAGGTGAGAGCCTTCATTTTCTTGGTTGAGGTCCACTTATGAGAGCAGTGGCTCATGGAGCTTGCGGCGAGGAAAAAGGGGATTATGGAAAATACCTCTGAGAAAGGTTCTTCTTCGAAGTCTTCCAAGGCCTCGCTGCCCAGTGTACCTAAGAAAAAAAGGGGGAAAAAACTGATCTCCCATCCATTCCTTTGGAACTTCGAAGAACGCTTCACGGCTGCCCGTACGTTATGAAAACTCATTCTTTCAATGTTGGAGTCTTAACTGGAAAGGGGTGGGGTATGCAATGGGATTCCATAAGGACCCTGATCTGGGTGGGGGATGGGGAGGTGCTCCCCTCACCAAGTCATGAGCTTTGACAGGGGGTGGCATCCTCCCAGCTGCAAGGGCACCTTTTTTTTTTTTTTTTTTTTTTTTTTTTGTAATTTATAGGAAGGTACCTTTGGAGTTAGCTGTAGCCCTGGGCATGGAGGTGATGGATTGGAAGTGCATTGGACATTTGTTAAATTCCAATGATAGGTCCGTCCTGGCTGTGCAAGATTTGTCCCATGGTGTCTCCTAAAGTCCCACGGCAGCCATAAGAGGCATGAATGGTTGGAGCCATTCTATAGATGAACCAAGGCTTCGGATACTGGGTAACTTCCACAAGTCACGTTGCTAGTAAACGACAGACTAGGTAGGACCTGTTGGGAACCAGTTCCGAGTGGCTTCAAAGCCTGTGTCCATTCTCCTAGTGGCAGAAGAGAGAGGCTGGTACGTAAGAAAGACTGGAAGGTGGGATTGAGAAAGTTTATTTTCCTCTCTTCCCAACTAGGTACATCCATCCTCTGGCAGAATCTAGGTCATGGGTTCTCGATCCTATTCAGACCCAAGTCCTGCTTTGAGTTACCAATTATTTTGTAAGATTTTGAAACATTATTTTGTAACTATTTTATCCTAAAATCAAATTCATGGGTAACATTACCTACCATATATAATTTCAAAAACAACATAGTGCCATTAATTTTCATGTAAAGGAGGAAAAAATATAATTCCTAATAAAATAACATAAATGCTCAGATATGACATTTTTTATATGTTTCTTATTGACTTTAGAGAGAGGGGAAGGGTGAGGGAGAAAGGGATAGAATGCAAACATCCATGATGAGAGAGATTCATTGACTGAGTGCCTCCAGCACACACTCTCTACTGGGGATGGAGCCCACAACCCAGGCACCTGCCCTGACTGGGAACCAAACTATGACCTCCTGGTTCATGGTCTGACACTCAACCACTGAGCCACATCAGCCAGACAGATTTGACTACTTTGGGAGACAATGAAGTAGTCAGACTCTTGCACCATATAATGACTAATGAATAAAGTACAGAATTAAGAGAGGTTAGATGCCATTTCATACAAGCAGTGTAGGAAAATAAAAGAGCAGAATTGTGGCTCAGTGGGTGAGCATTGACCTGTGAAGCAGGAGGTCACGGTTCGATTTCTCGTCAGGGTACATGCCCTGGTAGTGGGCTCAGTCCCCAGTGGAGGGCATGCAGGAGGCAGCAGATCCATGATTCTCTCTCATCATTGTTTCTATCTCCGTCTCTTCCTTCCTCTCTGAAATCAATAAAAAATATATATTTTTTAAAAAATAAAAGAGCAGAATTATAAATGGACACCTTTATTCCTAGGGTTTATCTCTCTTAAGTCCCAACTAAAAGCCCAAGGTGTTTTCCAGTTCTCCCTCCTCGTGGTCAGCCTAATTCTTGCCCCCCAGCTTTCAGAGGCTGTTCAAAGTTCCCCTGGAGTCTTCTGCTTTGCAGCCAGCTTTCTGCTTAGCAAATATCCAAAGGGAAGAGCAGCGCCAACTGCTGGGCTCAGCACTGCGGGCTTCCCCTGTGTCTGGGAGCTTGAGTCTGCATGTTTCCTCTTGCTTAGAATATCTCTGATCTCTTCAAATACTAGTATTTTATTTAGTCTAGCTTTTTTTTTTTTTAATTTTATTTCTGCCAGAGGATTAGTTGGAAGCACACTAATCACCAATGACTGGTGTGCTTCCATATGTTCAAAGTCCTTTGTCATATGTTCAGAGTCCTTTGTAAGACATGTTTCATGTCACTAAAATAAAATAAAAATAAACACGAATTTCAAATGCATTGTGGGTACCTACAATATTAATTTTGCTATGAATATCAATAAAAGTGAAAGTGATTGAGCAATGCCAGGATTTCTTTATCCATCAGTATTACTGCAATTTGAGTAGACAGAATGCTTGGAGGAAATTATACAATAACTTTGAGATGGAACCTTTGTTTCTCATGATGACTTTCTCCTATCTTACTGGGCTTTCTGCATTATTTCTTACTTAAAAAACAGTTTTGATGTTCTATGTCAAGTACAGCCAATTATTTGCATAGTGTTCCGCAGGCCACTGACTGTGAGGGAGGACATGAGACCGGCCATGGCCAGGTGTCCAGCCTCCCTGGTCCATTGAGAAGGGGCATCCCGCCAATAATTTCAACAATTCAAATGCTCCACGAGTGCCCCAGTGTCCTCCAGGGCTCAGTATCACCTTTCTGGAAATCCTACATTAGATTTGTAAAATCATCCCCCCGCATACGATGCTAGCTCGGAGTAAGTGTGGACTCCAGGATCTCGGTAGAGGCCAAGGGGTGCATGGGGCACGCGTTCCTACAGCTGCTGGATCCTAATGCCATCCTAAACCCAGGTGAAAGCTAGTTAGTGATCACATGCGGGACAAAGTAAAGAAGTCAACACCCACCTTAGCCCTCCGTGGGTGAGGGTGGGAGGGAGTGCTCCTGAGCCTGCTGGAGGCGGTCTTCAGCAATAGTCACCTCTTGCCTTGCCGCCTCCAGACCACCGGATTGCTCTGGTTCTGGGACCCCAATCCTCTCCACAGCCCTATAAAGAAGAATGCTTCTTACTCTCCACGTAGAGACGAGGAGACGGGCACTTAGACATTTACATGTCTGCCCGCGAGGTCCACACTGCGAAAACGTCTGTGGTTTTGTTGCTCCTCTTAAGGCTTCCAGTCCTGTGACAGCCTTGTGCTCCCTTGAGGGCGACCAGGAGACAACCCTGATGGGAAAGGGCTTGAGGAACAGGGAAAAGGGGTCTCAGAGGATCCCCAACTCCCCTGCTCAGGTTGCCCTGGGCGCGCACCTCCATGAGCCATCGCTGCAGCGGCTGCTACTAGTCCCTGATCCCAGCGGCCCGATTTCCAGGCGTTCTGAGCCCCGTGTCCCCTCCATCCTCAGCACAGCCCCAGGGGCCGACTTTCCAAAGGCCTTGGGCCCATCCTTTACCCCCGCAGCCCCAGGAGTCACGGGTCCAGCACGCCATCTGCTGCCAGCCCGGCTGCAGGGCCCACATTCCCCTGGGCTCGGGGTCCGGGAGGAGGTGCCGGTCCCGCCCGGTGGGTGGCCGGCTTCCAGGGCGGCCCTCCCACCTGCTGCGCAGGCGCAGGCGAGCTCGCCGCAGAGGCCGGGCGGGCAGGTAGCGTCCATTCCCTTGGCAACGCGGTACACAAAGCGGTACACAGAGCGGTACGCAAAAATGCCAACCCCAAAGAAGCGCAAGGAGGAAATGCTAACCTCGAAGATGGGCAAGAAAGGCTTCGACAAAGAGGGTGAGGAGGGTTGCGGGAGGGCCGGGGATGAAGGCTGGGGCGGCTGGGAAGACGAAGTGCAGGGAAGGAAGGCAGTTGGACCTTGGTCTGGTTCTTCGTGGACCTTGGTCTGGTTCTTGCCAAGAGCTCGGCGAGGCCCTGTCCTCTCAGCTGTGTCTGCCCGCCCCCTTCCTCTAAGGCACTCCCTCAGTCCCTCCAGCGGCCTTTCTCCTCCTCCTCGCCCTGCAGGACGTGTGGTTCAGCCCCCCTTCAACACAGGGGAAGAGAAGAAGATCTTTCCGCAGTTCCACCCGCACAACCTTTTGGGAAACAAGTATCTCCCCCTTCTAGGAGCGCCCCACAGAGGGCCTGGGTGTTACACAACAGACACTGTGAGTATCCACCTTCCCCCCAGGGATGTCTCCGTTCCCCCTCTATTTAAAGATTGCCAAGTTTAGGGGAAGAAAAAAAGCTACAGCGTGTGTGACCTTCAGGGTCCCCAACAGGAGAAAGTGCCCTTGGGCTCTGCAGCCAGCTGTCAGGGTCACAATGTCAGAGGTGACAGGGCCACCCCTCCCCCTTCCCAGCCTCCATCCAACACAAGCCTCGGCTTCATGTCGTTAACAGGCTAGTCCCCACGCCATTCCCACCCCAGAGGCTTGTGGCCAATGCCAGTGACCCACCCGTTAGTCCAAACCTGGGTGGTGCCTGTGTTGGTAGGAGAGTTGGTGAGGTGAGAGAGGATCAGACACGCTTGCATGAGAGCACATCCAGCCCTGCGGTCAGAGGACTGGATGCACCGGAAGGCAGAGATGTCACCCGCTCTGCCTGACCCGGCGCGTTCCCCTGCCATGTGACCTGTTCCTTATGCCCCTGTTTCTATAGACTTGGGCCACAGAAGCCAAGAAGTCAAGAGAGCCGAGACCGGTTTGGCTCAATGGATAGAGCGTCGGCTTGGGGACTGAAGGGTCCCGGGTTCGATTCCGGTCAAGGGCATGTACCTTGGTTGCAGGCATGTCCCCAGTAGGGGGTGTGCAAGAGGCAGCTGATCGATGACTCTCTCTCATCGATGTTTCCAACTTTCTATCTCTCTCCCTTCCTCTCTGTACAAAATCAATAAAATATATTAAAAAAAAAAAAAAGAAGTCAAGAAAGAGGAACGCTTGCAGAGAAGATTCGTTCTAAGTTCATGCTGTTTTGATGACTATAATGTTCTTCGTGTTTTTCTTTCTTTGTTTGTTTTAAAATATATATATATATTCTACCCAAAGAGGTATGACTGGGCGTACAACCTCTCCAAAACCCCGACCAGTAAGAAAGGATACGCGTTGGGAGCCAGAACAACCATGAGGTTTAAGCCGAATAAGGTGAGACACGGTTGCATGTGCTTCAATGTCTGTATGATCCATGTATTTGGATTGGGGAGCCCAGGGCAGTGCGTGGGAGGTTGCCTAAACAATATGCTCTGAAATTAAAGAAATGTAGACATTTAGGCAAAAGCCATTTAAGCCTAGCTGAAAAGGTTGGGCTAATGCATTGAGAGAGAGAGAGAGAGTGAGTGAGTGCCTGGGAGAGTGAGAAACAATGAGCAGGAGAGTGGTACCAAATTAGTTTCAGTGCTGGCTGAGACACCTGATGCTAAAGTACTGGAAGCTTTATATGAATCAAATTACCTTGTCAATTGAAATAAATAAATAAATAAATAAACCAGCCCAATCTGTTGTGGCTCAGTGGTTGATCGATTCTGAGTCAGGGCACATGCCCAGGTGTTGGGCTAAGTCCCCAGTAAAGAGCATGCAGGAGGCAGCCGATCAAAGATTCTCTCTCATCATTGATTTTTCTACCTCTCTCTCCCTCTCTCTTCTTCTCTGAAATAAATAAAAACATATTTTTAAAAAATTCCACCCTGACTGGTGTGGCTCAGTGGGTTGGAGCATCATCCAGTGCACCAAAAGGTTGCCGGGTTCCCAATCACATACCTGGGTTCTCTCCCTCTCTCGCCCTTCCTTGCTCTTAATTCAATAAACATATTCTCCGATAAAGATGGAAAAGAAAACAAGCCCAGCCAGCGTGGCTCAGTCGTTGAACATCAACCTATGAACTGGGAGGTCATGGTTCACTCCCTGGTCAGGGCGTATGCCCGGGATGCAGGTTGCAGACTCAATCCCCAGTGGAGGGCGTGCAGGAGGAGGTTGATTTCTACAACCTAAGCAGGATGCATTTTTAGGTGGTTGGACCACACCTATCTTAGTTTTCTACCTATCATAGGCCTGTTTCCATGTTTTGAGATGGTTAAACCATAGCTGATACATAAACCAGAAGAGGATCGGTTTGGGGTGTGTGTGTGTGTGTGTGTGTGTTACTTATAAGGCTTCACATGTATACCTGTGTGTTACCTTCTAACATATTGATCTTTTTCTTGGAAACAGGATCTGACACCTCACCCAGCCACATACCAGTCAATAGATCTTCAGGAGGGAAAACAAAAACAAAGTTTTGCTCCATTTAATGTCATGTTGCCTCGATTTGTGAAACGCTCAAAGGACATGAGTTATCCTGGGTATGTGTCCTCTTTTCTGGGGCACTTCAACAGAAAGTGATAGGAAAGGAAGGACAGGTGCACAACCACTCGTCTTTAAGATTCAGCCTCTTTTGCCTTCCAGATGTCTGGCATCACAGAAGGGTAAACCATAGTGATTTGTTTAATAGATATTCATAAAGGTGCCAGGCAGTTCCGTTGGGTTCCAGAGATGTTGCATTGAACCCATCACATGAGGCTCCTGATTCCTTGGAGCTTACATTCTGGAATCCAGACAGGCAAGGAGCAAGTAAGAAAATAACAGCAGTAAGAAGGAGAGTGGCCATATGATGTTTTAGTCTGACCATGAACACATTTGAGAGTTAGAGGGGACCTTATTAATAACTCTACCAAGACAGTAGCCATAAGCTAAGATTGCCATGAGCCAAGCCAGGCAGAACGGTGACCTGGCCATGTGCTAGAGGATGGATAAAACAGGCGATGATACAATGCTGAGTGATGGATAGACTGGAGGCTACTTTATCAAGGGTTGTGGAGAGAGCTCTTTCTGGGAAGGTGACACCTAATTAGAAAGACTTTACCCGCCGAAGGTGCTTACCCACCATTAAAAACCGGATCAGTCTGTTGCCTGTTATCAGGGAGTTAGACCTAGTTCAGGGTCAGCTGATAGGATTCACCAATAGCCACTGCGTCAGAGACATCATGTTGCATGTTTTTACATGTAGCCCTGACATGTACAACCCAGTGATAAAGCCACCCCCAAAAGTCACCTGGCCAATGAAATTTGGATCTCCAGACTGGGATCAGATTCCACGTCTGCGGAAGAGGACCATAAAAGCTGAGGTAACAACACCGGCTTCTTTAGAACACTACCTGGTTCTTCCGTGGGGGCTCCTAACAGGGAGTCTGTGAAGGAGCTTTGGAAAGTCCTGATCCCCTGAAATTATATGCACAATTTTGTGTGTATATGCATATGGGGATTTGGGGGAAAGTTGTACAATTTTATTAGATTTTTAAAAAAGCAAACATTTTTATTGATTTCAGAGAAGAAGGGAGAAACATCAAGGCTGAGGGACAATCATTGATTGGTTACCTCCTGCATGCCCCCTACTGGGGTTCAAGCCCGAAATCTGGGCATGTGCCTTTGACCAGAATAGAACCTAGGACCCTTCAGGTACAGGCTAATGCTCTAGCCATTGAGCCGAACCAGCCAGGGCAATTTTATTAGATTTTTTTTTTTTAAGTTGTGCATGACTACACAAAAGTTCCAGGGAATCTTATTTAATCCTCAAATGGTCTGTGGTAGGTACAGGAGAATTATCTATCTATAATAATAAAAGGGTAATATGCTAATTAGACTGGACATCATTCCGAATGTACTTCTTGATGAAGCCAGGGCCGGGAGGAAGCCAGCCTGGGTTCCAGGTGCTGGAGGGAAGCCGGTGCTGGCAGCCAGGAGAAGAAAGGCCTACTCTTGCATGAATTTTCATGCAGCAGACCTCTAGTCCTGTATAATAAAAGGCTAGTATGCAAATCGACTGAACAGTGGAACTACCAATAGTGCCCCTCAGCCAGAAGCCCTGAGCCAGGCTCACAGCTGGCAAGCATGGCCACAGTGGCAGAAGCCTCTCTGCCTCCACTGCAGCACTAAGGATGTCTAACTGATGTTAGTCCCCCGGGAGCAGGCCTCAGCAGTCAGTCAGACATCCCCTGAGGGCTTCTAGACTGCAATAGGGCGCAGGCTGGGCTGAAGGACCTCCCCACAAGTGCACAAATTTTGTGCACCAGGCCTCCAGTCTGTATATGATAGAGGAGGAAATTGAGACTCAGACAGATTAAGTGACTTGTGCAGGCTACACATGAATCTAGATCTAGATCCAGAGGATGATGGGAAAAAAAACCCTGCTCTTTCCATCATGTCACTTAAGTATTAGATCATCAGGGGGTTGTAGAGCTTTCTGGTAAGAGCTTTCTGGGGACAACTGCCTGGGTTCAAATCCTAGCTCTGGTACTTACTTGATATATGATCTTGGACAAGTCCCCTACTTTTTCTAAGCCTCAGTTTTCTTATCTTTAAAATGGGTATAATAATCGATCTGATAAGGTTGTAAAGATTACGTTAAGGTAGAAAAGCATTGAACACAGTTCCTATAACATAACAAATGCTCAATACATGTTAGCTATCATAATCCCAAAGGTGCCTTTCATTTCCTAGTGGAATTTTGGATTCATTTCACAAATACTTATTAATTGCCTGATGTGTTAGTATAATTGTGCTAGGGCCTCGAGGTAACATTCAAGACTTGAACATAGAATCTTTGTTTTCAAGAAGTTTACCAGTGAACTCTTAGAGATTTACCAAATTAAAAATAACAATAATAATAATTCTTCACATGATAGGTAAGTGGCAAAGAGTCACTGCACATACAAAAGCCGAGAGAATCAGCCCTGGCTGGGGTGGCTCAGTGGGGTGGGCATCGACCCTTGCACGGAATGGTTGTTGATGCTGCGAGCTCGACCAATGTTCCACTCTTAAATTGATGTCGCTTTCTGTCTCTCCCTCTCCCTTCCGCTCCCTCATAAATAAATACATAATAAGTACATAAATAATTTTTTTTAATGGTAGAATCACCGAGGCTAGATGACTGTGGGGAGGGGGTTGGCTGGGTCACAGCGGCCGCAATGAGCAGCTCTGTGTTGCACAGCCAGGCGGACCCGCGCCCGAGGGCCCTCCTCCGCGGGGGTCTGAGACCGCCATCTCTCCTTGCAGTTGCCCAGCGACAAGGACTTCAGAAGATATCGGAACCGCATGGCCTACTTGAGCCTGTTTTACGGTTCCAGAGCCGAGCCTGCCTTCGCGTGCTCCTCCTGAGCACAGCCTCTCCCGGATGGAGGACGGAGCTGCTCCGCTCCCTCGGCCCGGCCCCGGGTGGTCCTCTCTGGGGCCAGCGTGGGGCCTAGGGAGGGGCGGAGGCCCCTGCGGACCACGTGAGCGCATCAAGGCGGGTTCTTACTGTACTTGGGCCTTCTCGGCACCTATGTGGAATACAAAGGCTTCTTTCCAACATTCCTAAGTTGGGGACTGGTCTGGTTCGTGTTCTTTTCCAGAAGGGAGAGAGGGAAGCGTTGGCGTGGAGGGCTGGGAGAGGGGTGAGGCCGGGCGGAGGCCTCCCGCAGGTCCCACTGCGTCCTCCTGTCTGTGCTGAACGGAAGGCCTGCTCCCCCATACACACCCTGGGTGCTCCCCCATCGCCCGGCGAACAGACCCCCGGACACAGCTGCTGCTGAGTTTCATTTAGAATAGACGCCTGAAAGCAGAACACTCACAAAAAGGACATTTTGGAAGGAGCGTCAGAGACGTTCGGAGTCTCCCGGTTTATTCCATGTATTCATTGTGGGAGGTAAGACTGCATGAACAGAAGGGGGTGGGCAGTTTGAAACGGGGCGGTGAGCCCACAGCCAGCCGGCCCTGCGTGCGGGGTGCAGACGGCGGCCCCTCACCGCCTAGGCGGCCACGGCGAAGCCCACCCTGTTGCTGGCCATGTCGTAGACCGAGTAGTACTCCTTGAGGAAGACGTCCCCCAGGATCCACAGCGGCTGCCCGTTGGGAGAGGGCAGGTACGTGGCCTCGATGCCCAGCCTGCAGTAGCCGTTGTTCTGAGGGGACAGGGGACACCGGGATATGACCGTTTGCCCTGTACAGACAGACCTCCCCCACCCGGACTCTCCCCTCCCTGCATTTCACAGCACCCTTTGGGGTCCCTGAATTCTTGTTCACCCCCAGGCCTGCCCCGGGGACTCCCCATAGCTGCCCAGATGTGAGCTGGGACACGGGACAGCTGTAGGCCCCAGCCAGCCAGTCAACCACAGATGCTGGGAGTGACGACATACGTTGAGGACATAGGCGGAGGGAGGCAGAGGGAACTGGGACCCGCTGATGATGAAGGTGATGGTGGGCAAACTCTGCACGGAGTCGCAGGCGACCACAAACTGGGAGACAGAAAAGGCAAAGCTGGAGAGCGCCCCCTGGAGCCCAGACGAAGGGTGGGGCCCCCTTTTCCTGTGTGACTCTGTGCTTGACTGTGCAGCACAGGCTCTCTCAGAGCGAGAACCACAGGGCCTGACTCCCGTCTTTCTTCTGGAATCCTCTCCTTTCAGGCATCTCAGCTCTTAGACTTGGGTTGTATCCATAGGACTATAGGAGTTAGGCTCATTCCACAACCATTTCTAAACCCAGAAAGTATAAGTTACAGAGAAAAGGTGTGGGATCATACACACACGCACACACACACACACACAGCCTGGGGAGCCAGGATTCAGTCTGGGCCCAGTCTCTCGCATACAGGGAGCAGCAAACTACTGATACGTGTGCAAAGAGGAGGAGGGGTGGGGACAGGAGGCTTCTGGGAGTAAACTCCGAAGATGTATTCCTAGTGAAGACAGAAACCCAAGTGGAATGGGAAAGTGCATTGCGCCCAATGACACTGCAGCCAAATGACAGTGGCCAGGCCAAGCTGACGTGTGCTCCTAAGACCTGCGATGGGTTAACAGCACCTCCCGTAGCCATCGGTCCCACACCCACAGTCTGGATGGAGTCAGTATCACTCACCCCCTTACCCTTCTTTGCATTGAGAGTTCATGCCGTGTTCCCACCCGATCTGTCCCGCCAGGGGCTCAGGGGCCCACCCAGCCCTTCCCCCTCCCTCTGATGGCTCATTGCTTGTCCCCCTCCCTCTGATGGCTCATTGCTTGAGTGCGGGCTCCTGTGTTGAGCCTGCCTGGCTGTGACACAGAGACTCCCATGGCTTCCGGTTACTCACATCTCCATTCTGAGCCTGCTGGGCTCCCATTGCTTGCAGGAAGGAGCCCATGTACTGCTGGGGAACGGCCAGCAGGAAGGTGCCTGTGTCCACGATGGCCTGGCAGCCCTCGGAGCACCAGCCCATGGCCTGGTTACCGATGGCAAACCTGAGGGGACACCAGGACCGAGAGGGTCAGGAGTGTCTGCCGCCAACCGCACAGCTCGGGCATCCTGGCTCTTCCAGGAAGCAGCCACCCCTAACACCCTGCCCACGCGCCCTTCTGTGCCTTTCTGGTCGCAGGAGTGTTGCCCTCAGTCTTGGTCTGGCAAGCCCTCCAGCTCTGGTTGGAAGCTCTTGGAAGGCAGAAACTGGATGCCAGAGTCTAGCTCAGTCTGAGGGTTTGGTGATTCCTCGAGAAAGCCAAGCCATGCCATGCCATGCCATACCAGCAACAGGAAATGCTGTCATGCTAGAGAAACACCCCACGAGTGTCCCTCATCCACGGGAACTATCTGCACCTCTACTTACTCCTGAATGGCGATCTGCCAGTACAGTTCCTGGGTGACCGGGGCCCAGACGATCTGACCAGAATACAGCTGGTTGTCCACACCGCCCAGGATGAGCTCTCCGCCGTACTGACGGGTTGGTTGGCTGAAAAGAAACGTAACAAGCATGAGTTTCCATAACACAGATGGGTCAGGTGTTCCTCTCCCTCCTCCCTTCGCCCCTCTCTCCTTCCCTCCCACAGAACGAGGGGGTATTCTTCAGGCTTCTCCCGGCTCAAGGTACCAGGGAAAGGGGAATTCTCAGAGAGACACCCAGCTGTTCTCGGAAATAATTATCAGAGAATTGGAAACACAGACTATGTCCATAAAGAAGATGGACTTGGAAATCAGGCACCTGGAAAAAAGCTATAAAAGTATCCTGCCTGGGGCAAAGCCCCCTCTGAGAGCACCTGGGATGGCTGACAGATGCTACGGCTGCCGGGATGGGGGTGCTTCTGTTGTGGCCAGGGGGGTCACCAGGTAGTGCTGAGAGGATTGGGGTCTGTTGTGTTCACGACCCTGCACCTGCCGGTCATAGACTAAAGGCATTTGGACTTCAGGTTCCCTGAGGAGCATGTGTGTAGGAAAAAAAAGCAGGGAGTGAAGTGTGTCACAAAGTTCAAGGCCAGATGGAGAAGGAAAAGCATTGGCTTTCACATCAAGATTTACACCCACATTGGGGGGTGGGGTGTGTGTGGCTTTCTTAACATTCACAACTTGTTTGAGCTGCTACTTCCTCACTGGACAAATGAGGCCAACAACAGGATTTGTAAGATGTCGTTTGAAGTTCTTGTTGCTACAAGAACCCTTCACAAAGCCAGAGATGCCGTTATAATTATCATTTCTTTATTGTTCACTGGTCAATGGCGCTTGTGCTACAGCTCCACAGTTATGCTGACTGCTCACAGCAATCTCCGGATTTACTGGATAAATATTGAGGGAGTACTTATTTTTTAAGATAGAGTCATTGTAGCCGAAACTGGTTTGGCTCAGTGGATAGAACATCTGCCTGCGGACTGAAGGGTCCTGGGTTCGATTCCGGTCAAGGGCATGTACCTTGGTTGTAGGCATATCCCCAGTGGGGGGTATGCAAGAGGCAGCTGATTGATGACTCTCTCTCATCAATGTTTCTAACTCTCTATCTCTCTCCCTTCCTCTGTAAAAAATCAATAAAATATATTTTAAAAAAAGAAAGAAAAAAGAAAAAGAAAAGAGTTATTGTATAGTTTATGGCCATAATTCAAAATTCTTCCAGTGCGTTTAATACAAAATTCCCCCCAAAAAATGTGTTTATAAAATTTCAGAAATGCACAGCAAATTGCAGTCCCTGAGCCAGAAAACTCTACAACCTGAACTCTGCCTGATGCTGAGTTGTCCAAGGCCCCAGGGAGCCCATTTGCTGACCTCTTCCCGGGGCCAGGCCTCTTACCGCGAGAAGTAGAAGCTGAAGATGGGCTGGCTGAGCTGGCCCTGCTGCAGCATCCCCTGCATGACGGTGGGGGCATTGCCCACCGCCATGTTGGGGTAGGCCATCCCCAGGATGCCATCGAAGTCTGAGTAGTAGAAGGGGTTGTTGGGCTCATTCTCACTCAGGCCGAACTCTTGGTTCTGGACGACGATGTTCTGAACCTGGGCCAAGCAGACAGAGCAGCTGAGCAACTCCACGGGGACAGAGCCTTCCCGGGTGGAGGTGCCCAGGGCCTGGAACCTAGACCCTGTTCTGGGAAGAGACGCTGGCCTCTTTCATGCTGAGCTCACTCCTGGGCATGGATGTGGAAGGTGAAAGGACAACAGCGCCACCCAACCACGTGTCTTAGGAAAAGGAGTGTGGGTGCTGGGGAGGCAGAGGCGGCTGTTTTCTGGAGTTCTAGTTTCCATTTCCGTGGACAGCGACTGGTTTTCGATTGCGCAGTCCACGTGCAGACACAGCAGAGAAACTATGGGTGTTAGGCATAAAAAACACAAGAAAACAGTGAAAGGACGGATCTTCAAATAAACAAGGTGAAGCTGGGTGGAGGAGGAGGCAGACGCCCTGTGTGGTGGCAGAGGGTAGGGGTGAAGAGCCGGGAACAAAGTCACAAGAAGACACACGGCTTCAACACAGCACGGAGGGCTTTCTGCAGCCCGGCCTGCTGCGGAGGCCACGCCTGTCTCGGGAGGAAGGCTGAATGGGGCGGCCTCGGATGCCTTTTCCAACCCTCAGCTCCTGGGAGGGTTTGACCTGACTTGTAATCGTGGATTTCTCGGGGAGCTCAAGGCTTTAGAAATGGGAGCCAAAGCACAGAACCTCAGAGGCTGTGAGAGCGTCACTCACGGTCACGGTGTCATAGCCCAGGACCACACTCAGGCTGCCGCTCCCGTAGGACAGGGTGTAGGTTTGCCCGTTGTTTCTGAAGGTGGAGGACAGGCTGGGGTTGAACCTGTTGTGGTTGGCTGTGGAAAGACAGGATGAAATAGTAGCATCACGCACCGCTTTCCAGAATGCTTGGAGGAAACATACCCTCAATGGCCTGGGGTCATCAGACCACGTCTGGGATGGGGCTCAGCCTCGGATCCTTCACACTATAGACAAACTGTGTTCACCCCAAAAAGTCTGCCCCCTTAGGCAGCAAACATTGCCTGAATTCCTTTCAATCCATCATTCCCTGAGGGATGGATCCCTAAAAAATGTCAGGGACTCTGGCCCACTGGAGAGAGAGGAGGGAAAGGGACAATGCAGAAAGATGG